CTCTCTTGGATCAAACGGATGGACCAGAAACTAAATGGGTGACATGATTAAAGAGTAAATGTGATCACGTCCACTTCAGGAACGTACTCACTTACAGGTTATCATCTCTCTTTCGGACCAGATATGCCTGATTCATATCTCGAGAATTTCTAGTTTTCATCATTGTAATCTCGTTATATTAATCGCTTATCCCGCTACGCTTATTATCTCTGTTTCCTATTCTTTGTTTGCACCTCTTTCCTCTCGTACAATCTTCACAACAAGGTAAATTATTTATTTGATTATCTATGTAGTTCTGAAATTTTTCTGTTCTCATTGTAATGGGATTTTCTAAATATTCTCCCAGTTTTAACCATTTAATCTCAATCATGCTAAAGTGATAGCTGCTGATATCACTGAAACATACTAACCTGAAAATAAATGTACTCAGTGATATCATGGACATGCAAATTCATAAATAACAGCCAAATGAATGGAATTAATGCAATCGAGTGGCTAGACTACCGTCTGTTGGACACTAGAACATACCAGGAAGTGTAACGACAGAACAAAAATTGAGCGCGAAGAAATAAACTTGATGATACCAGCTCGTGAGAATTATTTTGGATACTGGATAGTGGAACAAGGTTTTCTGAGTAAATCTTCTCTGCTTCATCTCCGTGTTCCCTTTGCTCTCCCGTCTAAAAATGAAATAGTGAATTTCAATTTGTTTTAGTGTTAACTCCTTGAAATATGTGGTCAAATCAGGGGCGTATCCATTTCATTTTGCTAACTTGCATCTGTTAACATGAGATGTCTCTATACTGGCGACCGTCATTCCAGAGCTAAGAAAGTTTTTATGTTTTATCTCTTAGTTCTTAAAAATGATAATAATCCGTTCTGGAATAAAGTGTTACAAGAGGAATGCCTATTTACAGGGAAGATCAAAATGTAAAAATTGCTAATTTATTTTCTGCAAAAGGTTGTTCAGTCAGATAAATATTTCCTAAGATACACTGCTTATTATAGAAGGCTGATAATTTTTCACGTAGAATTGTAGCTAATTCACACTCTGGGATGTGCAATGTGATAGTAGGCGGGAGTTACTTGGTTTCCGTTTCGACGAATCAATGCAAGTCAAATCCAAGTCTGCATATAACGAAAGGTGATGATGTAAATATGTGTTGACTTGGGAAAGTAACGTCAATGTGATTGATTAGTTACGCCATGCAATTTTTCACGGCACTATGCACACAAGCTCTGAAAACTGCTTTGTAAACTTCATTTCAAATTTCCTTGGCCCTTATCACATGTTCCGAATTTGTGGGACATTTCGAATAATGATGTTCTTCAGGGTCAAATACTTTCTTCCAAAATTCTTTTTTGGTTATTTTCAGCAAGATTCCATTCCGAATATTTTATAATTCGTTGTGTCCTCCCAGTCCTATGAGATTTATGAAAGTTACTGGTCGGTAGCACATACTCCACTTCGGCAGTTCTTATGAACGATATGGAAAGATATGGATGTCCGTTTTCCTCAGCACAGTTAAGTAGTGTAAACGATGATTTGCCTGTTTTGGAAATTTGGACATGCTGTTTATCCTGCCGCCTTTGCTTTGAGAGGTGAGAGTGATATTCGATGTTCTTGATTACTAAGAAATGGTCAATAAGGTTGCTCGGTTACTTTGGCGTGCAGTTATATTGACATGTGTTCCCTATTTGTTTGACGGCTGGATTACCTTTCATATTTCAATCTTTCTTATGAACTGGTTGGAAGATTGAAAGCAACTTCACTTGTAAGGTGACTTCAGGCTACTTCAGGTTTTTATAGCGCTATTTAGGGTAGTTTCGTTACCCAAAGTAGGATTTCCGATTGTTGCAGTTTCCTTTCGAGTAGGCGGCTCCAAAAGGCACTAGTTCCTTGCGTCTAATTTCATTTCAAACATTTTATGAGACTGATGATATTACACATGTTTTCAGGACTGATACTGAATCTGAAATATATGTCTTACAGAGCAATCGCTGCATGGTCTATAACTGCCAAGTGATTACAAAGCATTAACTAGTTCGCCAACGGATGTTATCGATAATGAATCACAAATATTTTCAATGAATTGCCTGATCACATTTTACTGAGACAACGGATTCCCTTACTTGATTTTAAAGTTGCTGTAATGCCATTTATTTGACAGGGCTAGTTCATCAACATGATATTGGATATTGGAAGCAGTTCAAGGTCGTAGAAAAGAAAACGGACATATTTGAAAGCAGTTTTTGCTTTATTCTTGTTACCATTTTTGCATTAACTGGTTTAAGATTGTACACATGTTCACAAAGAATGGTTTATAAGTCCGTTGGTTATGCCTGACTTTAGACAAAATTATTTATTCATACCACCTGGTTGTCTTATGTATTTGGCTATTACGTTCTTCGTTTTATATTATGAATGCGTGGTATGTTTAAACTGCTTTGATTTTATCCTAATTTTTGGTATTTATCTCCTCTAAAGAAATATTATAAATAGACATTTTTGTTTAAGTTTTCAAGCAATAATAATCGTTTTTTGTGGGATTAACTTCAACTTACATCATCGCACTATGCCATCCAAATACTCAGGGTTAAAATTATTCGAATAACGTATCTCTTAGCTATTTCCCACCGAAGCATAGATTTTAGAAATTTTCAATAATGTGAAGTTTTTGAACACACGATTCTTTAACAGACATTTTTTAAACACAGTATTGTCCGACAGATCTAGGAAAACGTATTTTAATCATTTAAATACATAATTATTTGTTCAAGGGGACGCTTAAATATATATGTACCACAAAATTTATTGAATTTTTGAGTGGACTGGAATACTGCTCGACAGCCCAAACCAAAGCAAGCGGTTTTCTTAGCGGGCCACTCATACAAGCCTTTGACCTACAGGTATTACAAGGCAGTGAAGCAACTTCAGGAGATACAGTCCAATGATAGTCTTTTGTTCCTTCATGATCCTGGAGTACGTCTGCATCACTGGTTTTAAATGAGGGGTTCTTGACTCTTCTAGATAAATGCTTAATACACACCGACCCGATTAAAGCACCAGACACTTGCTTTCCATTCTCCTAATTTCGTAAACACTCCATAAGATAACGTAAAGGTCAAAAGTACAGTGACTTTTGATATGAAACATTCTTGTTTGTGTTCAGTCACTTACTGAGAGTTAAGAATTCGAATGATGCATTCGAAGCATGATAAAAAATGGCTCCACTTGTGGTGAACATAATATAACATGGTCAGTATAATGCTTTGATATTTTGCACACAGGTCGTTACAAACTCTATTGCTTGGGACCATTCTGAGCGTGAATGCTACAGTCACCTCATCCAAAATTACGAAATACTTTCAGTTTACTAACAATCCTTAGAAGCAAGTGTTTAGTTGCTAAAATAGTAGTTACGTAGCAGGTTATTCAGATTCCTTTCGTATAGTTATGATTTGTTTCAGGTCTGTAATACTACATAAACTCCTAAATCAACACAGGTGCATTTGTCAAAAAAAAACGTTTGTCTAAGTCTGTAATTTAAGGATCTAACCTGCTTTGATAGGCAAATGTCTGACAAAATCTCAGCACAAGCCAATGCAGCAACATTAGGATATGGTCTGTTGGCATCAGGTAGGTAAAGTAGGTTCACGGCATATTTTTTCTTTCAGAATCCTGTTGCTTTTTTTATATTTCAAATGAGCTTTCAAAATCTACCTTTCCTGTTTAAATACCTCCTGATCTCTTGTGAGAGTAACCTATCACCACTTGATTGTGACGTTATGGAAGTGTTTTTTAGAAAGAGAACGTTTTCTCTGTTAAGTAGCTATAGTCTGCTGAAGTAAATATGCACAAGAGAATACTAGGTATTTATCTTTTTCTCTGTTTCACCAAACCTCAGTTAACATATTGAGAAGAAGATCGATACCTATAATGTATGTCATGCTGTTACTATTATTTTCATTAACACCATTTTGCAAAAATCCAGTTGAATTAACTATCAAGTATTAATCAATGTCGTATTTCCTAGTCATCAGTATTGGTCTAAGTCTATCGATTACATTTACCGTTTGTTCACTCAGCTAACGAACTGTGGAATATCTGAACATGTCTTCAGCAAATAATTAAAAAGTTCTATCTAACACTCGCTTTGTGTTTGTCACTGTTAACCAGCATGGTAAGAATGAAAAAGATTCAGGGAATTTCGTGCTCCTCCTTCTTCTTCTAGTTCGGTTATTTTATTCTAGTCAGTGCCAAGAACTCCGCCAGTAGAACCTTCGGGGCTACTGCCGGTCCCAAGCCTGGGTAAAGGAGGAGGGTTGGACATGGGGTTGGCGACCCAATGGAGAACTACGAAAGCCATCATCCAGAAGATACAAGTGTTTATTAACAACTGTCTACGCAAAATACTTCGTGTTCGTTGGCGAGACACCATCAGTAACAACGAACTGTGGGAGAGAACAAACCAGATTCCAGTGGATGAGGAAATCAGGAAGAAGCGGTTGAAGTGGATAGGACACACACTACGAAAAGCACCTAACTGCGTCACGAGACAAGCTCTCACATGGAACCCTCAAGGCAAAAGGAAAAGAGGAAGGCCAAAGAATACAATACGCCGAGAAATAAAGATAGATATGAGAAGAATGAACAAACATTGGACAGAACTGGAGAGGGAAGCCCAGGACAGAGTTGGTTGGAGAAAACTGGTGAGCGGCCTATGCTCCATTGGGGGTACTAGGCGAAAGTAAGTAAGTAGTAAGTAAGTGCCAAGAACAAATTTTCCACTCTCCATTAACCAAATAATCAAATAACATCATGTCGCTGATATTTCATAATAACGTTATCGGTATGTTATACACCTAACCATTTCATTCAAAATACAATTTTATCACTATCCATATTTTGTTGAATAATTATTTATTCAGTGTATATTTAACAGTTTTCTACTGATTGTTATTCTTGTTTGCATTTCATTCCTTATTCTCACATCTAGGCATCGATTGAATCGAAAAATTATCAACATTTCACAAATGATTATATCAAGAAACGATTAGGAAAAGCATTTTTACGTTTAGCAAGAGATGAAATGGGTGTTATAGCATTACAGACAGCATTTGATGGATTAAAATATGAAAAAGTATCGACAGTCAATTGGACAAAAAGTTTAGATATAGTAAGTTTAACTGACTGTTTGTATGTGCTATTATCGATTTCTATTGCATAACGTCAAAAAAAACCAATCAGTAATTTTTAAGGATGTAGAATTTCTTTAAAACGGACTAGGTAGTTTTAAATTATGTATGAGAATTGTTTTTCAGCTACCAGATCACAAATCAACAGTCTTCTTTCCCAGTTGAGATTTTTAAGCAATCTCTAGATATTATAATTTGATTTTAATTTATAAATGTTAATCATCATATATTACTGTTAGGATATTCATCCAATATCCTAAGAGAATTATTTGTATTCGTCGCCCTAACTATCAATGTCACATTCCTCAAATGTTGCTTCCTATTTAATCTAATTGTATATGCATTATCTGTAACGTCTTATGACTCAGTTCCTTAGTTCGGGATCCTGATTCTTTTCTGGACTCGGACCTCGTACTTTCTGGTTGTTTGTAGAATACAGGTTCTACTTCATATCAAGTGTTCTTCTACTCAATAGGGGTTTGTGACCCTCAGATTAGAGCAGCATTGTGTTAGTTCCTTATATTAAAGGGTAAGTAATGGGGCAATGCAGATAAAGCACTGAAAACTCAATCCCGTGTGGATTGGGAAATAAAACGACCAAGAAAATCACATACTCTAAAATAAGCAAGATAAATTGGAATTTAGAAGTTTTTAAAAAAACAATACACTTATCAGGTAAAACAGTTAGAGCTATAACACAGGAAGTTAGGTCATAGGACCGAAACCCTCCCTATCTATACAACACAAGTAGGATTGCTACGCCTCGCACTATCATATATTGCACAATGCGGACTCTGTAAATTGATACTGGACGAGTGAGCTCAATAATGACATGGTCCGTGGTCACCTCACGTCATTCATTATAATCCTTTTAGCTTAGTATTTGGAACAAAACAAAACAGCATAACGCGATAGGCTCCGACCCTAAGTTTTATGTGACAACTTTTAGAGACAACTGTTGGCACGTGTTCCACCAACTCTTTTCCCTGTGCAGTAGTTCGCTTCGTCCTACTTTATGGCTGTAATACATGGCCAGTCAGAGTAGAATATACTAGTAGCTTGCTGGTCGGTGTCTCTGAAGCATTGCTGCTGTATCATGGGATAACCGAGTAAGCAATGCTGTTGTTAGGAAACGGGTGCTAGGTAAGCACGAAAGGTCAATAGGTGAAGTATTGAAACTTCATCCGTTGAGGTAGTTGAAACATGTGTTACGTGCGCCTAACCACCGACTGCCTCGTCGACCTATGTTTTGCGATGTAGGCATAGGTTGGAAGAAAG